CCAGTTCTTTATCCACTGAGTGGTCCATCCCATCAGTGGTCCATCATGGTCTTCTCCTTCTCATGGTAGCCATGAGAGCTTAAGAGCTGGCCTAGCCATTTTGTCTGTCTTTCTGAAAACATACCTGCACCGGTGTTAAAACTGAAAGCACTGCAGTCTATTCCACTTTGTGTAAATTACACAGGGCCCTAGGTTCCAGAGAACTTACCTAATACTGTGCTCAGCTGGACAAATTCTGGGCACATATGAGTATGTAGAAGTTGATTTAACAATCTGGTCCTAACATAACTAATGTGCAACTGCTGCCATAACAACCTTGCTAAGTTTTTTTTTAATTGTATTTAATTACTCCGTAATTGTTTTAAACTAAAATGTGGCTTTCTTACATTATAAAACCCAGGCAAACATGTTGGTGGTCAATTTACTGATGCCCTTGAGGTTGGATCCATTTGTCTTTAGTATTTTTTCCCCTTTCTTCTCCAAGTGTTTCTGTGTTAAGAATGCTTCTTTCTTCCAGACAGTGACTCTCTTTGGAGTAGCAAATAATAGCACTGCAGTGTATTTTATAGAGGAATACTTAACATATCATCTCAGGTACAAAAGCCATAAACAGACAGGTAGCATATGTGGCAAAGGGTCTGACTCTCTTGTGAATGTAACTGCTTTCCTTGGAAAAATGTGCCAATAAATTACTAAATGTAGGATGTAAGTCAGATAGCAGTGACCAGTTTATAGAGTATTTGAGAATATGTGTGTGAGTTGTAATGGCTGTAACGTTTGTGGAAAGGTGTGGGTGTTTGGCTTTTACAGATCATTTTTCCTGCCTTTTTTTGTTGGGTTTCTTTTCCCCCCTTAATATTTGAAATAGCTGTCTGGAAGCATAATATATATCTTTGGTGTCTTGAACGAGAACAAGGCATTTGGATTGGGAGAGATCGACAAAGCTTTCTAATCTTTTGCTGAATCTTAATTGCTAGAATCTAGGGCTGTATTAAATATCTAAATAAGAGACCTAGGAGCTTAGTGGCAAACTAGCTTCACATTAAGTAGCTCTGATTCCTCACGTGCATCTTTTCTATTTTATGGCCTAATTAGGAGAATAGCTTCAAATACCTGTTTGTGTAGTTCTCCATAGTACCGTATGGTCCATAAAATGACACTAGTTTTCAGGTTTAATTGATGTATAAAGTATACTCCAATTTAATTTTTTGGCTTCAGCATCCTGAATGGAGAGGCAGGAGGTTGCAGGAAAGGAAGGAAATAACAACACCAAAACAAATACATTCTATGTTTTGCAGTAACCTGATGTCATTACTGCAACTGAAAAATTAGAAGTTTCGTTTGTAGCCTGGGCTTGAATTTTAATTAAGCAGCATTTGCATTTGTTCTAAACACTTGCAATTAGGTGTATGTTAATTGCAGAATAACTGTGCTGCATGAAAGTGAAACAAATTTCTTCATGTGGAGTCCTTTTAAGATATCTGGAAATGTGTTTAGTCCAGTACAGACACCAGTGTTTACTCCAGGAAAACAGGCATCCTAGTTCACAGGGCTCAATCTAAACTATGGAGTTAATTGCAATTAAACCGTGTATGATAGACAAATATTTATTGCAGCACAAGTGTGAAAGGAGGCAATATTCTCTCCATGGAATACGCAAAATAAATAATAAGAGGAAGCATTGTTATGACAAGTTGTTCAGCAACTCAGCATAGCACAGTACACTTAATATATATTTAGGGTTAATTTAATAGATTGTTATCTCAATGTGAACAACTATAGATCAAAATTGTCTCATCTTTAAAATTTTAGCAATGAAAGTACCAAGTAAATGTTTTACTTCAAAATTTGTCAGAAATTTAATGCATTTTTTTTACTAATTATATCCGTTTGCAAGTACAATCTTTTAAATGTCTGGTTGGGTTTTTTTTGCTGGAACAGATTGTAGCTATAAACTAACATGCAAAAAATTAGCATCTCTATTCCAAAGTGGTTTTCCACTACTCTTTTAATAATAACTGAATATCATCCCCAACACTGATTAAAAAACACTGTGACCAAAAAGAGTACAGGTACGGCTATTACAGAGGCATGTATAGGAAAGGCCTATTAATTTTCTAAAATAGAATTATCCAAATATTAAAACTGTACCTACAATTGAGAAGCTGTACAATCCGCTTATCATAGCAGTCCTGAAGACAAGTTAACATGAAACGCCAAGACCTGTCCTCCCACTCCCATCCCTTTCCACCCCTTTTCTTTTTCCTGGTTGTCTTTCCTTCATACTACTAGTTGAGATGCAAAATTAGTTAATAATTTTGAAATTTATCTGACGTGGTATGTTTTCTTGAAATATGTTTAGGTGATCTTCCAGGGTTAGAGAATATTTATAGAAATCTTGGGGTATTCAGGGAATACCCCAAGTACTACGTGTAATGGACAGGTCTGTATATTGTAATATTGATGAATAAACAGTATTTTGCAGGCAAGTATCTGAGAGAGAGAGAGAAGAAATTATATTGAATGGCTTTCAGTCAGTGATTTGTAGACTTTTCAGGTTCAATGAATTACTTGTAAGGTGAATATGAGTGATGACTGAGAAAAGAAAGTTTATATTCTACAGTAGTCTATGAGAAACTTCTGAAGAATTACACACTACTGTTGGCTGTAGAAGGGTCGCCAAGGTCTAGAAACAATAATATTAGCAGGAGCTATATATATAATAAGTAGTAGTAAACGTATGCTAAACTGAAAAAATGATTCCTTTTTCCTTCTATAAGCCATGGCCATTTCCAAATCTTACTGAGTACAAAAAAACCAACTTATTTTCCATAGGCTGTGTGTAGGTAACACGAACTTTTTCAACTTATACTGCCAAGTGTTGTTTGGACCCTTTGTATTCATTAGTTACAGGAGGCAGCACAAAATATGCATCTGTGATCCTAATTGCTGCTTTGTGCTGCCTGTTGGAAAATTGGGAAGTGATGTAGCCCTACTTATGATGAGATGATATAAAATGTTAGAGCTCCTGGAAGGTCACAGTTTCACCAGCCATGCAGTGTAATTTTTGGACTTAGAGTTAAGTCAAAACGATTGCAGGATTCTGACCCACAAGCTTGATGTGTTTTCTTTCTTTTTCACTAAGCTACTGAAGGAGTATTCAGGTTTTGAACAGACAGTCTCTTTTCATAATTTTTCTTTCAGACATTCTGAAATACATGTGGTCTGTTAAATCTAGCTTTGGATATATTTTAGGATTCTCTGAGTTTTGGTTTTTGACTAGAAACAGGAAAACCATGTTATCTGCCCTTAAAGGATTTTACTTGTTCCACTGGATGGAATCTCCCCACCTGAACCTCCCAGGCTGCCTCATCTCAACCAAGAATAAAACCAAGAATAAAAGTCATGGTGCGTGATGTGTTTTAAACTGCTCCAGGAAATGAAGTAGCATGACAAAACCATTATGTTACTTGCAGTAGAAGAGAAAGTCTATTAAGGCTTGTATTGAGGGTTAACAGTCCTTAATGACTTTTATATTTTTATGAGAGTATTCCTAAGAATTTTCCAACAGGACATGCTGCACTACTGTTGCTTCTTCTTGCAGTTATTTCTAAAGCTCTCCTCAACTGATTTAGATACTGTGACAAAAAGGGCCAATTAACATCACTTTGCTTATCCTCTTTATTAATCCACATTATTCATAATACTCACAAAGCACAAATTGTTTTTCGCAGAGTGTTCTACAAAAGTGAACTCCTTGCTTTTGGGAATTTAATGGTGCAAATAAACATTCCAGGAAACTGCCACATGAGCAGATACTGATTTAAAAAAAATATATATTTGTGGTTGTGCATATATCCTGCTTCGAAATACATTATGCAGTACACTAAAAAGCCTTCTGCCCTTGTTGTTCTTATCCCCCTGACATTTCTTAATATGTGCTTGCAGTGGAGGAAGACACAGAGGAGAGCTCAAGATCTGGTAGAGAATCTGTGTCCACAGCAAGTGACCAGCCATCCCACTCGTTGGAAAGACAGATGAATGGAAGCCAAGATAAAGGCGACAGAAAAAAGTCTGGAAAGGAAAAGAAGAAAGATCGGGATAAAGAGAAGGATAAAATTAAGGCAAAGAAAGGAATGCTGAAAGGCTTAGGGGACATGTTCAGGTAGGTGCTTGCAATCAAATGTAGAATGAATTACAAAAAGAAATTTCATCTTTTAATTACTCATTTATGTTGTGACTGTTTGCTGAGGCAATATTTTACTATACAAATATGTTCATAATATATGTAGGCTGATCCCTCGTTTTTTGAAGTGTTGAGTGGTATCATGAAAGGAAAGCAGCTTAGAACGGAACGGAATGAGATGGCTGTCAGTCTAAAGGGGCTGCAAAGATAAAAATGGTTTTAAGCAACTGCTTGGTCTTGGAAAGAGTCTTTGGTGACATCAAAAAACATATCCTTTGACAGATCAAACTATTTTGGGTTTGTTTTTTTTCTAAAACTGTGCTGTCCCTAATACTGTACCCAAAGCTTATGTGTTAGTAAGTGAGTGTTTTTCTTTGGTTTGCTTTGCTGTTTGGTATCATGAGGGCATGAGGCGCAAGAGATCAATCAGTTTGAAAACCAGCATGCTCCTCTCAAGGAAAAACAGGAACTAAATGAGGTTGTGTGCTTTGAGAACTCACAGTCTAGGGAAGGGGAGAGTAAAGGACTTGCTTTTTACCAAGCACTGAGCACTGAGTATGTTTGAAAGCAGTGGTCTCTCCAGCAGACATAAGTGATCTGAAAGTAGCAGACTGCTGAGGGACACCCTGCTGTTCTGGGTAAATGGTGAAACATGACAAACACCTTTGATCACTTGTGGGAATGGATTAGAGAGCAAGAAAATCAGTCTTTCTTTCAGCTAGCTAGAGTAAATAAATCTATTTCCAAGAAAAATAATATTAAGGCAGTGTTTGTTTTCTATTGTATATGCAGTGATACATTATTTAATTTTGAAGTGAGATACCAGTATTATTTCAAAGGCTTACTAATAATCATTCTGCTATAAAAACATTTAAGTGAGCTTCAGTTAACTTTTATCCTGTTACCTACTTTATCCTGGAAAACATTAATTGAACCTATGTTGTAACTACCTAGGTTCTTGAGACCTGTTCTGTGTCTGTGAATCCTATTACAAAATTAGTTAATAGAAAAAATAGTTAATTAGAAAATATTAATTAGGAAAAAAAGTAGTTACTAATTAGAAAATATTAGTTATCAAATGTGTTTAGAAAACACAAAGTAATACAACGTTTTCAGCACTCAACACAGAACACCAAAAGAGTCATAGGAGATAGTCTCACATGTCAGCTGGGGTGGGGGGAGCACTTCATCCCAATCCCCTGTGTCTCCCATAGGGATGCCCTCATCCTCTGAGTGTTTGCCTGCCTAAATTTAAGCCTGGAGCAGAACGTTGCATCCCATACCAAATGCTGACTGGTTCTTTTCTGCAGTCTTTGCCATTTCTATACACCAGAAACAGCAGGTAAAATTGAGGTATGCGATAAATTCTATGGACTCTAAGTAGCTTATTGGATACCATGAGTGCTATCTTGAGTTCAGTCAGAAAGTGTTCACAGCATCTAGAAAGTTTGGGCAGTTCCTTGGTCCTCAGTTTCCTCCTATGTAACGTTCCCCATACCCAGAGGACCAGTGAGGTAGCTTCTTCATTTTACAAGCTTTGGGACATAGGCAAAGGGCTGACTTACAGGGAGTCCCATCCAAAGAGAGAAGCCCTATGTTCCAGAAAGCCAGCTTGGTGTGAGGCTCATCAGCTCTTCTATGCCCTCCAGTCTTAGAGCCTAATGTCTGGTGTTCCTCTGGGGCTTTGAATGCTCTAGATGGAAATGAGTGTGAAAGTGAAAATTAATACCATTTTTAATCAGGTGCTCCCAGCTAAATAGGAAGTAACCTCATCTGTGTGCTTGACATAACACTTCTGAAATCTTTAATCTAGAAACAACAGTAATTTAACTGATAGAACACTTTGTTGTTTGCTCTTCATAACACTCAGTGTTTCCTTGAGTTATTTTTTCCCTCACTGCCATTTCTGAGTGAACTTTACTTTTCAGTTTCCTCTTAATTAACGTGGGAGCAGTGCTATCCGGATACAGTTGACTCCTTCTGGATCTGTAAATTAGCTTGCACCTTGTCAGCCCACCCAAGAGAGGTGCTTCTGGCAAGCAGAAAAATGCTGATTGAGGGAATTAAGCATTATGCCTTATTTCCACTTGGTGCTTGATTTGCTTTGTTGACAGGCTTCTCAATAAAGTTTGAGAGATGGGCTTTATTATGTCTGCAAGATAAGCTACTACTTCTGACTATAACATGCTTTGTATTTCTGTACATCTGACATATATCGTAGATATCAAGTAATCACTGAAAGAAATTGTGAGATAGAAAATAATGATGACAGTGACATTTAAAATTCAAGCCATGATCAAAGCATAATTGGATGTTTTGGTTCTGTGCAACATTGTGATTTCTTTGTAGTTCTTTTTTTTTCCTCCTTTTTCTTTTTTTTTTTCTTCCTTTTAAGTGCTCTTATCTTACAATAATCTTTCTTCATTAGGTTGTATGGGGAAGAACACTTGAGGGATGAAATTACTGTTAACTGACACTTTATTCCAATGTCTGTATTTAGCCAAGGGGCTTTTTATTGCCTATAAGCAAACTGGCACCTCATAAAGTAGAGTCTATGTGATGTATAAAAATAAGTCTCCTTGCCTTCAGTTAAAATCTTAGAATTTGTTACTGGGATCTTCATTACTGTACTGTGAGATGGAAATTCCAACTAGAGAACCCCAGGTTACATTTATCCTTCAGCACCTAGTCATCATTTCCAAGAAATCCTTGGATGATTTAGATAGCAGGTTAAAATAGTAAGTCAATCCCTTAACACTTCCATTGTTTTACTGCTTGCATTAAACATAGTAAAGAGGATTGACATAACCATGAAGGAGAGCTGCGGGTTCAGCCTGCCGGATGCAGCCTGTATGGCTCTGACACGCACAACTCCTGTTATTTCCAGAGGACCTTTGCTGACATTGGGCTGTGGACAGTCTGAAAGTTCACTCTTCTCATGCAATATAAATCTGTCTGAGCATATGTGTTTTCTTTTTTCAAATTGACATTTCAGGGCAGAACAGAATAATTTATTTACATTTGTCATTTGGCTGAGAAGTCTCTATTTTCACAGATGAATATAAGGCAGAATTTAACCCAGAAAAGTGTTGAACAAAAGTATTGGTATATTGGAGAAGATGCAGGTGCTGCAGATCTTTGCTTTTACCTGAATGCATTTGTTTTACCTGAATAGTTGCATCACTCTTGTCTGTCTTATACCTCAGTAGGATCATGCGCCACATCCTGTGGCTGTAATAACATACCAAATGAGAGGCTGTGAGATTCCTTCTTCTTCATTGCTGGCACTTAGAGGGTACCTGGATGGCTGCTGCCTGCTGACCAGTGTTTCACTACTTTATTTCGCTACTAAAAGTGTTTGAGTGGATATGTATTTTGCCATCAGGAATTTATGAAAAAATGTATTCTTCTCCAAGTACAATCTCAAATATGTTTACTAACTTCTGAGTCTGCTTTTGTCTATTTTTAAGTAGAGATTTTGCTTCTTGATAAAAGTCAAACCAAAAATTTGATAAATAAGTAATTGCAGTGCTGCCTTAAGAAAGAGGCTTCACAGCTTCAAACTGTGCACCTGCAATTAGTGTTGGTAGGGATACATTAATTTGACGGACTTCTACGATTCTGTGACATTCCTCTCCTAAGAAAGAGAAACTGTATATGCTGCTGCCTTTTCCCATCCTTTTGTCTCTGTCACACACAGGGTATCTTTATTTATGAAAGTGTATCCCCTCAGGATATAAGACAGGGAGATTTGAGATTGTTCTTATTTGTAGGTTTTGGATGATGATGAAATGACACATCTGCTGTGCTGCTGCTGCTTGCATATGAACGCTGTACTTCATTCATGCTTATCCCCAGTGTACAAGCTTGAATATAATTTCTAGATGGGTGACTACACTGGTGAAGTAATAGGTCATAGGCAACTGAAGCAGTAGCTCCACGTCTTTCCCCAGCTTCCTCAAGCCATATATAATTTTCCTCTATGGTCATCCCTATACCATGATTTGCTAATGGCATCTCTATGATTATGTCACTTCTGGGGAGAATTAATTTTGTTTGCAAGAAAGTAGACAGCCATGCTCTTAATGAGGAGTTTTTATGGGAGGATTCTCATTAGTAAATTTTATGATAGAAAAATATGTGCAAGTGATCTGTCACAGGAGAGGATGTGTCTGAGGAATGACATCTTTAGAGGAAACTGAACTACCAAGATGTTGAGAATAAAGAGGGTAAAAAAGTAGCTCTGGGTTTCCAGACGGTGGAAGGGGAGTAGTAGGGAGGCCAAGCTATCTAGTCATGTCTTGCTGGAAATACTGGAGGGACAGTCACTCAATGCCTGATAATAAAAACCTGCTGAAACGAGCAGACCTTTTTTGCAAGTGGATTTGCAAATACAAATGGTATGTTTGAAGTTATGTGAGGAACTGCCCCGGAGAAGAAAAGACAGGGCGGGGGATATGCACATTGTATCTTAACCTTGAGGTAAGCAAGAAAATATCTGCATTGGTTTTGGAAGTTGCTTATGGAATAGATGTAATACAATTTGAAGCAACTGTGGATAAATACATTACATGAAATAAATACATTTTTTACTGTAGGAATAAATACCTCAATCCCACACAAGCATAACTTTTCAGTGGAGAACATAAGCACTGTGTATTGAAGTTCATGGAACAAGAAAGTATGCTTAAAATTAAACATGTGTATATGTGTTTTTAGTATTGGAGTTTGAATATTTCAAAATCTGGCCTGTAATGTTGATGGAGATGTAAATCCGTAACATCTGGTAACTGATCTTTAATTCCTCTCTTAACTATTGTAGTGCACAGGTGGGTAAATCAATGCACTGGATAGCCAATGCAAATGTAATATTCTCAAATTACCATTAAAATCTAATCCTAATTAGATTTAATTACATTTAAAATGATTACTGGGAGCCTTGCAGTGTTGTATCTTCCAGTTCTGTGAGAGGAAAGAGA